GGATTTGGGCGTCACTGTAGCACTTTGACTGAGCACCACCTAGAGCTCCTGCCATGACAGTAGCTGCAGTAATAGTTATATAGAAACCAACTGGCTGATGTTGAAAAGATTCTACATGAACATATGGCCCCCTTGCTTTTGAAGATCAACATTAGATGTTAGTCCTAGTCCACCACAACCTTGATCTCGACCCATGTTAACTACATTGACAAGTATGCAGAACCAAATCTATACTCAAGAACGGTGCAATTTCATATTGGTTCTTTCCCAAAGAATTTCAGCCCTTGCAAATACAATCTTCCCATCCAAAAAATCCAATATTCCTCTGCCTCTTACATGAGTTTCAATCAAAGAACAACCTTGTATAAAGGAGTCGTAGCTCACCCTTATGCCAGTATAACAACTTCTTATGGGTTAACCCTTCATGGGATTTACCATCAACAATCTCATTCAACTTGGCTTCGGCCTTTAATATTTACAAAAAACAGAAAATTAACAAACTATAGCATGGCATCGCCCTTAACTACAGCACCACGGGATCGCCCTTTGTGGATTTTACCAAAAACAACTTCTTTGAACAATGGCATTGGCCTTCACAATTTCAACAACTGAATCTATGTAGGATTACCCTTTGTGGGATTTACCTACTCAAAACACGGGATTACCCTTTGTGGGTTTGTAGGATTTACCGTTAACAACTTCTTCTACCCTTCATGGGATTTACCTATTCACATCACGGAATTACCCTTCGTGGGATTTACCGTGTACAACTTCTTTAAATTTCATTGTATAACCGGACTTACTGTAGATTCATGCTAACAATTGAGTTGGTTAGACTCTGAAATTATAGGCTGAGATAAGAATATATACTGCATAACCACGATATAAACGAATTGTAAGTAATCCCATCGGGATCTATTCCTTTGCTTACCATTTCTGATACCATTTGTAAAGCTCGAACTCTGTCTACACAATTCCACAGTGCACTAAACATGGTGTTGTATGAGCTCACATTAGGAGGACATCCCACTTCACCGAGGTTCTCAAAGAGTTGCAAAGCCTGATCAACCTTTCCACTCTTACACAACGCAACCAATATCATATTGTAGTTTACAATATCTGGCAAGCAGCCATCCGATATCATGTAATCCAAAAACTCTATTGCCAAATCCAATCTCCCCTCTTTGTAGAAAGCAGAAACCAACGAATCATAACTATAAGCATCCGGAGTCAATCCCTTGTCCTTCAAAAAAGGTGCATTGACATGATCGATAGATGCCACAATGCAAATATGAAAACAAGAAACAACTCGTGCAAGACACTGTTGGATTTCTGATTCCCTTAATCCAGGTCCATCAATGTTGTGAATGACAACACATACTATACATTCATTTGTCGTATCTTTCGATCCATAAAAAAATGCAAGAAGATCATCCATGAACCTATAACTAAATGGTTGTTGCACTTTTGACAAGCTTTTAGAATGAGTCCTTTTAGTTTTCAATTGATTCCACAGATGTTCAGCTAAGGCTTCCACAAAGACTTCACATGAAACTTTTAAGTTGGGCATTTTGACAAACACCTGGACTGCACCTATGTCTGATCTTTCTTCCATACCAAAGAACATAATAGAGATCAAAGAATTCACTGACCCATTCCTTCAAACAGTTGGAGTGCACACAATCATAACCTAGAGAGCTCCCAAGATTTGCAATCTTGAACAAACAACAACCATTTCCTATACAAAACAGAGTACAAAAACAATACTTTCTTTGAGCAGCAATCCAAACTGAACAAATTGAATCCCCAAGACCATCTTCAAGAATCATAATTACCAATTAAATAATGAACAACTGTTTCTTCATATACCCAATTAAGTAATTAGCAACACCACCTCCATGAATCGAAAAACTGTGCTAGTCACCTACTAATCAAAGCAAGTAATTGAACCCAATTCACAATGCACTGTTCTAATCAAAGATCTCTAAGAACCCTCCAAGAATCAACAAATCAAGTTACCCAGTAATGAAATTAAGTAACTGAATCGGAAAAGCAACATTAGCAGGCAAGTAGTGCAAACACCAAGAGTTGCCCAACTGCCATGATCAAGCTATCAAAGAAACATCCGCAATCGGACCCAAAATACTGAGTCTCCTTGTATTACTTTATGTACCTCTTAGCAAGATGAACATAGAAGAAAGGTGGTTTCTTGTTGTTGGAGACCTGAATTCTGTTCTTCTTCTACGCCTCAACCGATTGCAGTGGTGGACTTGCGACACTCTGCATTTGCTCTGAAATTTTCTCCAACTTTCGATCTCTCGCTTTCGATCGAGAACGGAGAGACTCATGAATTTGATCGGAAAGAAATCAACCCAGAAATACATTAACCCATAAGTAAAAGAACGATCGTGGAAGCACCCAGAAACTTAACGTAATTCCATCATCCCATTTCTTACTAAATGAAACCAAACATTTTCGAATGTCTCCCACATTGAGTTGTTACACCTCCTACACGGACATTGGATATGAGTTGAACCTAGGATGTGTCTAGTTGCGAATTCAATGAACTCATTTATTCAATTCAAGTACTCAACATCACATTTATTATGATTATGTATCCACTGTCTGTCCATTTTGTCTGCAATCCCAATAAAAGTACAAGAGTTACAACAACTTCAACTATTATCTTGTCACCTTATTCCTCTGGTAAGGGCCCTATCCCATTTAGGAATGCACAATTATATGCCGTAACTTACGATTCCAATGGATTAAAATTTGACGTGCGCTAATTTCGGCATCATCTCCTTACAGTTCTTCAAGTGCACGTCATAGATACATAATATCCACCATGTACTCGAAGAACATCAGGAAATGTTACCAAAATTTCCACTATTGAAACCTAACCTGTGAACTGCAAACTACAACACATAACTATGCATTCCCAAACTGTCCAAAAAATGGGACAATTCAAGAATTAATTGGACCGCAGTCATTCTTTCGCATCCATACACGACATCCAACTAATTCTCAAACAGGAAACTAAGCTTTTCTTGAAAAAAGTGTACAAAGTTAAGTAGTATTAACTTCGTACAACACAAAACAATTTTGTACTTGATGTACAAAAATATGTGCATACAAATAAATTAAATCACAATAATTAGTGAAACTAAATAAAATAGATACAAACTACTAATCCTTCTAAACCAAAAAATGGGACGATTCCATATTGACATCACCCAAAATTTCTACTTTCCACAGTTTTAACTTCTTGTTTACCCCTTCCACTCCTGCCTTAAAATTATTGTTTAAGGACCTATATGATGAGACCATGCATTCTAAATCGTAAAGGGTAGAGAATGCACCTAAAATGATTACTAACCACGTAATAGAACAGTGGTTTGACAAAGCTGTAAACTGGCTTCTTCTCTAAGTCTCTAACATTCTAGTTTCCTCCTCCCAATTTGGTGAGAAATGAAATCTTCCATTTTTTAGCACACATCAATCTATCCCTAAATTAGATCAAGTTAACTGAGCAGTTTGCAGTTTCTTAGCTTTTGTTTCCCTAAACCTATCAAAATCCTTCATACTCCTAGTCATTCATTCTACTCATTCAATTGTTCAAAACCAAAACTCAACTTGTTAAAAATAAGCATTGACAAAGACACAACATTAAGTTGCATTCACAAAGACACAACATTAAGTTGCTTGAATGCAAAACTCAGAAGTCCAAATTCCAGAAAATAATTAAAGAAAAACTTATACACACAAAAATAAAATAAAAAATCCAAACATAAATGTAATCAATAAATAGTTAATTAATTAATTAATCAAATAAATACAATACCTGAAGGTGAAGATGGTGAGGGTTGAGAGAGATGGAGAGTCTGAAAGAGAGTGAAAGAAAGAGGTTGAGTGTGAAGAAAAAGGCCCCTGTGGGTGGTTATTTTAGAAAAAAAAAAGTCGTCGACTTTACGCAAAGCCACCTAAGTCCTGCAAAGTTGGGAAAAAAACGGTAAAGCATTCTTGGTTTGGTGCCAAAATCTTGCGCAACGCACAAAACATCATGCAAACTGCCTTTGTGCGACGAAATTTGCTGCGTCACACAAACGTGTTTTTGTACTAGTGACTGTTATTGTTCTTTCAAATTAATTCCCAAATGTAAGTGCAAATAGAAAATTCAATACTTTCTTCCACCTTATGATTTGGATACATGCTTAAAAGTTGAAATATGATTCTGATATATAATTATGTGTCCTTTTGATGGGCTTTAAGCAATGTAACAGCATATGACTGTTGCTACATTATTAGAAGAGAGAAGGTTCCAAACCCATCTGAACACCAAGACAAAAGCTATTGTGATTTACAATCTGAACCGAAAGATAATGGTTTATAAGCTAACTAGCTAAGCGTCCGTTTAATAATAATTTCATTTTTGATTTTGTGTTGGAGATAGAGATACATTGAAGTAACGATTTATAAGAGCAGTGGAGAAAGAATGGTAGGAGACGTTAAAAAAAATGTATAAGGAAAGGTATACAAAACTAAAATCCCAAAACATATTTATGTTGTTTTCACTTTGAAGATTTTATTTTTATTTACTTTTAACGCAGCCCGACTCTAAAGAGAAACTGCAAAAGTTGAAATAGTGGCCTCTAAAATAGAGGAACTAGGAACTGTAGCTCTCTCTAGAGGCTAGGGTTTCGTCACGATACAAATAACAATGACTTGGTTTTACTTGCACGTCAAAGAATTTATCTTTAGTGGCCAAAACATGAATCAAAGTTATCCTTTTCCTCCCACAAACAAGCTTCTTTGATTCGTTCTGATTACATGTTATGGCACACCCGTACAAAAAGTATAATAGAATTGAGAAAAGCTTGCGAGAGGACCATGACTAAATATATTCAATATCTTAAGAAAATCATAAAAACAATTTATACCACTGACAGTCTCACAGTAAGCTTAACCCTATCCAATTACATAGAACGAACTAATTAAACATGATGAAATTAATGTCGTTAAATAATCATAATTCACTCGAAAGCCCACTGTTTCTCCCTACGAATCTTTTCTTCTTCCTCTGGAGTGAAATCGTTCTTGATGTTGAAGGTCGTGCGAATCTGTTCAGGTGTCTTCCCCTTGATCATGTCCGCCACAGTCTGACACGTCAGGTCAAGCAGGCCCTTGATGTCGAGATAGTTTGCCGCCATTATTAGGTCATAAAGAGTGTTCTGGTCGATCTTCATGAACTCGGCGTCCCACTCCTTGACATTTTTCTCGCCATCAGCAGCAGTAGCCCCCTCATCTTCACGATGCTTCCTGCAGTACTCGATGACCTTTGCAAGGATGGCGCTCGTCACGTTTGGCAAAGGAATGGCATTGCCGGCGCATCCGTCCTCCACCATGTGTTTGATGGTCTGCGACTCCATAGCCACCGCCTCTTCCACCTCGAACATCTCGTCGTCGGAGCTTTTTAGGGTTATCTTCTTCTTCAAATCCGCTGATGATGATGAGGCCATTGTCTTGCTCTTTCAAAAGTTATTAAGTTTGAGAAAACGTGGGAGATTAATTCAATTCGCTTTGAGGGTTGACTGAATGCTTTGTGTTTCAAAGGGTGTGAGATATTGGGGATTTTATACTACTAAGTCCCTGTCTAGATCACAGATCTTTTATCTTGTTCGTGTAGGAACAGGAGAGCAATTCCTTTTTGTTTCCGGATTAGTTTAGTAAATTTAAAAAAATATTCTCATATTCCGTATAGGAGAAGTATTTTTCTGGGTTTGTTTTTTTCGGTGGCTTCTTTTTCTGTCCGTGTGAGCAGTGGCGATCCAAAAATTTATCTATGACTGTGGGCAACGTGTAAAACATCCTGAATTTTTTGAAACAAAAAATACCTTTACAAATTAAACCATACTATTATGATTCATACTTTATGGAAGAAACAAGGCTACAAGCTTAATAATTTGCCACAACAATTTTTCGTGCTAGTAGCTGCGGAGTTGTAGGAAACTGATAACAGAAGCGGAGCTGTGGGCATCATCAAAGCATGAATCGATGGTTTCGAACCAGTAAGCGCAATTGTGGCTGCAGAAGAGTCATTTGAGTGTGGCTTCTTTTATACAATCACTATACTTTTTATCGCCAGTTGGCATGTTTAACAATCATTAACAATAAAACTAAAGCATAAATTTTATCAAACAAAAAAAAAAAATGAAAGCATAAACCCTCCCATTTAACCCTTCAATTGGTGATTAGGACAATCACAAATCAAGCATATTTTGAGTACATAATAGCTTATTTTTCTCAACTTTTTCATGTAAAATCTTATATAGTGTGAAATTTATACCATCACGTGATGGTATTACTTTATTTATATTCCGTCGTCTACACGTATTATAATTTATAACACATAAATAGTAAAATCATGCATTTGTGTGGCTTGTAACATACATACATTTCTCCTTCAACATGTATATACAACCTTCTTGTTTTATAAAAATTTATTTTCTTGTGTGACCAGTGGATAACATTACTAATTAATCAAACATGTAAATGTTGTAAAAGGAGAAAAACTTGTGTAGGGCTCAACTTGCCGCTAAATTTTGTTGGGAAAAAAAATCTTATCACTTGAATATGAAATATTTGTGGCCGTTTAACAATAATTTCTTTTTCAATTTCTAGTTTTCACCGTTTTTTCCTTTGAGATGTGAGAAAACTATATGAGGGAATAGAGGAATAAATAAGGGTGGTGGGAGAAAGGCAAAAAAAATCAAAGACGAATGAATGAAAACATAATCGTGAATGTGAAAATAATTAAAATAGTTTTTGGTTTTAGTAGAATGAGTCTTTGTTTTTTCACTTTTGTCAGATCACTCTCTTTCATTTCAGATTGTAACTCACACCAGCTTTTATCTAGCTGTTCTGCTGGGTTTAGATTCAAATAACGTGATTCAAGTTTCAACTTTAAGTATGTATCCAAAAGATAAGGTTGAAGGAAGTATTGAATCTTCTATTTGCTGATACATTTGGGAGTTTATTCAAAACAACAATAATTAACAGTGCTCTGTCATGGTTCGGCAGTTGTGGAATCATCTACAGGATGATAGAATCTGTTGAAAAACCAAATAGAATCGGCTTTTACTGCATATCCATCTTGATTACGGTGCCAACTATAGTAGGCATGTGTTCGATTCTTGATGTCGAAAGTAGCATGACCAAAACTGGCCTCTCTATAAGCTGAGTAATCTGGCTGTGGTTCGGTCATACTCCGCAACAAAAGAAAAAGTTCGTAGATTATTCATGCAGTGTTAACAAACAGAAAGACGATGAGTCATGAAACACCGATATATCAAGCATACTGATATACTTACTTGGTCGCCAAGCCTTCAATATTTCCTCCATCACCAATGGTATAATGTACACAGGTGCAGATTGATCTTTCACGGGTTTGCAAATGCCATTGACGATGTTGTATGCAACATTGGATACACGTTCCTGTGTTGTACAGAAATCAGTTATCAAGTACTGACATATTGAACCATCACTGTGAATGGAGGATGGTAAAAAGAGAGTATCAGCGAGGGATATTTCTGCAGTTTACTTGTCGTTAAATGGAATTCCTATATTTTATCAATGATTAAAATGTTTGATAAAGCTTCTCGTTTCATTGAATTTAGAACTTTCTCGTTCTAACTAAAAATAGTGACAAATTTTTTAGGTATAATGTCCAGTTCTATGCAGATATCACCACGTCAAATAACTGAGAAACTAAACTCTTTAATAGATACGGACGTGTATATCAAGAATTTACAGATCGTTCATATGCATGGACATGACCAGCAAATACCACATCAACTTTGTACTTCACAAACCATGGCTCATACATCACTCTTATTGGAAGAACAAGCCGTCCTACCTTGTCTCCTAGCCGTCCTACCTTGTCTCCTACCTTGTCCAAGCCGTCCTACCTTGTCCAAGCTACACACTTGTATCCCTTAAGTGTTTCATGTATATAGATCCTTGTAATCTTGTAGAGAAATACGATGAGTAAAAGCATTCTCTTCCATATTTTCCACATGGTATCGGAGCTGGAACCTTAACCGGCCTGACTCTATTGTTGTCCCTTCTCTTCTTCTGCACATTCGTTTCAATAATGGCAGAAGATAATCTTTTTGGCTCAGAAGCTGAAAGCTTCACAGCTCCTCACCCTAGTTTTCCAGAAGCTGAAGTCAACCCAAACCAACGTTTGTGTTCTGTGTTGTTAAATGAGTTTAACTATCTTCCATGGTCCAGATCAATATCTCTTGCCCTTGGAGGAAGATCCAAACTTGGATTCTTCAATGGAAGTATTGAAGCACCTGACATCGCATCGCCGGAGTATGAAGCATGGCTGTGCAAAGACCAGCTGGTCATGTCGTGGCTCCTCAACTCCATGGATCCTAAGCTGTCTGAAATTTTCAGTTTTTCAGAATCCTCTAGTGCTCTTTGGAAGGCAGTCAAGGACATGTATGGAAATCAAAACAATGCTGCTCGAGTGTTCCAGCTTAAGAGGAATCTGGCAAGTCTTCAACAAGGTGATAAATCCTTTGTTCATCATCTCGGTTGCATGAAAAACATGTGGAACGAACTAGATATGTATCGACCACACACTATCGATGCTGCCGTACTGTTAAAAAGGTCCGAGAAAGACAAAATCTTTCATTTGCTTGCAAGTTTGGGTTTTGAATATGAAGATCTTAGAAGCCATATTCTAATGAATCCCGAACTTCCATCATTTGCAAGTGTTTGCACTACTATCCAGCGAGAAGAAGTACACAGAAAAGTCATGAATGTTGATGTAAAACCTAGTGTGTCTGAGGCTAGAGCTTTTGTGACAAATCACAAGTCATTTGGAGATAAAGTATACAAGGGAAAAATGCCAGATCTGAAGTGTCTACATTGTAATAATGTTGGACATCTAATAGATCGATGTTGGATATTGCACCCTGAGTTGAAGCCAAGGTTTGAGAACAAGCCTTTAAGAGATCATAAGGGCTCACACGCTAGACCACATACAAACAAGTACCATGCTGCTGCTGCTACATCCATCGGTGGGTCGATGAACTTTACAGCCAATCCGGCTGACTTGTTGAATGAGTTCTCAACCTACCTTCAAACCAGAAAAGGAAGCACAGGTGAAAGGTCGACTGGGGAAAGTCAAACTGCTCTTCTTGGACAGTTTGCAGGGTTCTTAGCTGAATCTGGTCATGTACCTCAAGGAGACATTCCAGGTATCATGTGTGCTCTTTCAACTGCTCTAAATGTTAGTCACTCTCATGATTTTTGGATTATAGACTCAGGTGCCACAGATCACATGACAAATCAATATTCAAAGCTATACGATTTTGAAAGCTACACTAAACCATCACTAGTTTCTGTAGCAAATGGTAGAGGTGTGCCAGTTCTAGGTAGAGGGAAAGTTAAACTGATCTCAGAAACTGTTGAGTCTACAGCATTATATGTTCCACCTTTTCCTTTTCAATTATTGTCCGTAGGAAGGATTACAAACTCTCTAAACTATCGTGCAATTTTTTCCCCCCACAATGTTGTTTTTCAGGATCTAGCCACCAAGAAGCTGATTGGTGAAGGTCGCTACCTAAATGGGCTGTACTATTTTTCAGAGGACCTCAATGTTCCAAAGGGGTTCCAAGTCAGCTCAAACCTAGAACATCGGTTGTGGCATCAACGCCTAGCCCATCCCTCAGAATCTGTGTTGTCTACGTTGTTCCCTAGTTTATGCAAATCCTCCCTTGTATGTGAAATTTTTCATTTGTCAAAATCTACTAGACTCCTATTCAATTCTTCCATGTCTAGGACTAGCAAGTTTTTTGAGATGGTGCACTCCGATGTTTGGGGACCTGCACCTCTAGAGTCTTTTGATGGTTATAGGTACTACGTTATCTTTGTTGATGATTTCTCAAGAGCCACTTGGTTGTACCTCCTAAAATTCAAAAGTGAAGTTATGGATGCTTTCAAGGACTTTCATAATCTTGTCATGAACCATTTTTCGTCCCAAATCCACATACTAAGGTCTGATAATGGCACTGAATATACATCTAAAAATATGACTAACTATTTGAGCACCCATGGAATTATACATTAAACAAGTTGTGTAGGTACTCCTCAGCAAAATGGAATTGCCGAAAGGAAGAATAGGGACCTACTTGAAAAAACCAGGGCGCTAATGTTGCAAATGAATGTGCCTAAGAGGTTTTGGTCTCAAGGAGTTCTTGCAGCCACCTACCTTATCAACAGACTGCCTAGTCGTGTTCTGGATACAAAATCACCATATGAGGTTATGCAAAACAAAAAAGTTATACAAAATCACCATATGAGGTTATGCAAAACAAAAAAGTTAATCTTTCCCATCTGAGAATCTTTGGATGTACCTGTTATGTTCATATTCAATCCCATCACCGAGACAAGCTTGATCCCAAAGTTGTCAAATGTGTTTTCATGGGATACTCCTCCACCCAAAAAGGGTACAAATGCTACAATCCGTGCTCCAGGAAGATGTTTGTCTCAAGAGATGTACGGTTTGATGAAAACCAACCATATTTCAACAAATCATCAGATCAAAATCGTCAGGGGGAGCACTTCCTAGATCTCTTCCCATTGCCAAATCCAGTCGAATCAAGTGACTGTGTCCATTCACTACCTCACAACCGGGACTCTCATGCAACCCTTAATGACAACCTGCTTATTG